GCCGTCGTTCCTTGCCTCCTCCTTCAGTGACAGCCCATCGAGCTGACATTCCCCTCTGAGGTGATTTCTTTCCTTTGAAGGCCATTTGGCGGGGAGCCCTGTTCAACGGGGTCCAGGCCAGGAGCTGGTGCTAAGGTGCCGAGAGCGGCCCCGCGGGGGGGGGCCGCCGCCCAGATGCCATCTGGGCCTGCAATCCAGGGGGCCCGGCGGAAATCAAGCCGTCTAGCCTTTGAGTTATTATTTTCAATGTGTCTCGTTAGTAAATGAGTCTGCAGAAGACAGGCCATTTCTCGAAATATAATTGAAGTACTTGAGAGGGCGCATTTTTCCTCAAGATTTGCATCCTTAAGAAGAAGAAATTGATCCATTTCAATGATAATAGCCGGGAAGAAAGATCTTCCTTTTCTCCTTCATTAATCCTGATAAGAAGGAAAAATGAACTAATTCCAAAGGCGAAACACAGACAAGAGAGAAAATATCTGGCCGGCTCCGTCGCTCTGGCGTCCCGTCCCCGGGGAGGGGCGTCTCTGGGGGAGAAAGCAGCTCGCCCCTCAAGCCGGGCTTGCGGGGGGCGAGAGCCCAGGGCCCCCGCCGAGGGCTCCAGGCCCCCGCCCTGCCCTCCCGCTGCTTCGGGGTTCATGCCCGGGCACCCCCCTTCTCGGGGCCGCCGCCCTCGCTGTCCTTTCGCCTGAGGGGTGCAACAGGAAACAGGTGCTGAGGGAGCGAAGCCCCCCGCAGTCAGTCTCCCAACCCACAGGGGCGGCAGAGCTGTGCCGCCGAGTCCTGGTGTGAGATCTCGTCCACGGACAGAATCCGTGGCCTTCCCGCTCTGAGGGGCGTGGACGGAGAGAAAAGGGAGCGCAGGGAAGCGGGCCAGACACTCTGAAACCGGCCGGCCGAAACTGCGCGCAGGGTGTGTGCGCCCCAGCCTGCCCGGCGAGGACGCACTAGGGCTCGGAAGCTCTGTTCTCACACGCACCCAGAGTTCACCCCGAAATACAGCCAGCGCCACCAGCACGGGACCCAAGGAAGGTAGAGAATTGCGGGGAAAGGATTCTGCCCGGAGCACCTGCGATCCAAGCCCATCGGGACGTTTCGCTCCCAGGGCTGAGGGCGGTGGTGGGCCGTAGGAGCCATCTAGAGAGCCGGGGTGAGGCACCCGCCCTCCCCAGGAGGAGTCTGCTTCGCCGTCCTCACGCAGCACAGGGAAGGGGCCGGCCCTGCGGCCTGGGAAAGGCTGTCAACAGTACCCTGCGTCCAGAAAGCTCCGCCCGGCCGCAGTGGGGGCGGGTGGGGAAGGGGCAGTGCACGCACGATGCCCACGCACGGGGCCAGGCCAGGACGCCGGCGGGAGCTTCTGAAAGCAGGAGGCACCCGGCGGGAGAAGGCCGTCCTCGGAAGCCAGCCCCGGCGCCTGCCCGGGCAGGGTGCGGGCCCGCGGGCCGCCCCACGCCGCTGCCCACGGCCGAGCCCACAAGGTGACCTGCGCCCCACAGGAGCCACGGGGTCTGCTTCAAACGTGTCCGGGAAGTGTTACGTGTGACGGGCGCCTGCCGGGGGGCCTCACCGCGCGCCCACAATTCGGTCATACTGCAGGCGCACACAGAAGGGTCTGTCACGGGCTTGTTTACCAAAGGGGCAGGGAAGGGGCAACCCAGGGAGGGAGCGGGACACAGAGTCACGGGAACACCTACGGCTCGGCGGACGCGGAGCTCCGGGAACTCCGAAAGCCCGAGCCGCACGGTGCGAGGGCCGTCTCCCGAGGGGGAGAGACACCCCTGGACAGAATGGCCCCTACTTACCCCCCAAAGTCCCAGAACGCTGCTCCGCTCCGCCCCTGGCCCCCACAGTTCTCTCCCTGGTGCTGCCGGAGTTGTAGGCCCCAGTCGCTGGAGCCGGGGTGGGGCCCAGACTCCGCAGAGTTCCCTCAGGACAGCCCGCCCCGCAGCGGAAGGGCAGCTACGCCAGCGGCACCATGGCGGTCCGTGACCAGCCGGGAGCGGGAGGGAGGTGCCCCCGCGTGGGGGTGAGCACGTGCTCAGAAACCTTCCAGGCTTATCTCTTAAAGTGCATTATGGCTAAATTCAAACCAGAAAGAACACACAGCTTAAATTATCGTGGAGTAAACCAGCCTAATGGTTTTGAAATAAAGTAGTCGGTGCTGTTTCTATGAACGCTGACAGAAAAGTAATGAGAAAATTGCACGAACATCCATCAAAGACGGAGGGCTGGAAAGGCAGGGAGCCGGCTGGCTTTCCCCCTCAGACCCTCCTGAAAAATAAAAGCCACAAACAGAAAGGCGAGGCGGCATGGAGAAAGCGGGAGGAAAACTGTGAAGCGGGCTTGGGCCCCGGGGCCCACCGAGGCCAGCGCAGAGCGGCCAGGGCGGAGCGGAGCAGTCACAGCGGCCCTCGCGCCTGCTGGCGCTTGCAGGGGTTTAGCACGTCTCAGGCAAAAGCACCTTCAGCACCTGCTGCCTTGAGAACTCTTACTGGGCCCTCAGCCGGCTGCCCCGGGGGGAGAAGCAGGCTGCCCTCAGCCGGCG